TTTTGAAGAGTATTTCTTAATTTTTAGGTAATCCTGAAAGTGCATCCAAGGCAGTTGAAAAGAAGCATCCTAAACTATTGAAAATAAGTAAAATAAACAATATTTGTTAAAAACAAAATTAGATCTATATTTAACAGAAATATAATTTGACGAGAGGAGTTTGAAATGTTGTATTCATTACAGGAGGCCTAAAAGAAGACAACAAGAAAGTTAAACAATTAATTGTATTATTATGAACAAGTGTGATGCTGAAACATTTTTGCTACAATTAAGTTATAATCTGATTACTACAAATCACGTTAAGAATAAAAATGTGACAGTAATGGAATGAAGGAACTTGACAGAAGTGGCATTCCATGTCATGACAGAAGTGGCATTCCATGTCATGATTCCAGGCTAGGTTAACTTAAGTTGAATAAGGAAAAGTTATCTTATATGTGTATGTGCATGAATCTTCAAAACTAAATTTTGAAAATTTGAATGAAGTGGTATTGCTTGTAAATTCAAGTGTCATACATGCATAATGTACAGGAAATAAAGAAAGAATTAAATAGGTTTATTGATGGAGCTCCAGTGTGAGATAGAGAGGGACAGAGAAAAAGGGAGACACATGGGGGTGGGAAGGAGGAACTGAGGGAGGGAGAGAGAGAATTGTGAGTACGTTTGTATAAATCTGACAATGTGTACATAACATCGTGAACTTGAGTGTCTTAAGGAGAGTTGGAGGCATGATTATGAAAGTACATGTACATTCATTTATGGAGTTTGAATAAAATAAATAGTGAAGGTTTACATATAAGAGTTTGAATAAGAGTGGGTATTGGGTAGAAAAACTACCAGTAGTGGCAAAAATGGCTAGTACATATACTATGAAACTGAAGCAGCAAGTGCAGTTTGTTCATGTGTATACTTAAACTGAGTGAAGAAATATGGACTCTTCAAATGCACATACATGTAGTCATGTACATGTACAAGAGTATAAATGTGACACTCTGAGCAAAAAATATATGCCTGCATGTCATGTAGATACAATATGAAAACTGCATCTTGACATAACCGATTAACCTGACACCAGTTGGCAGCTCTAAACTACAAGTAGATGTACATGCATTAAAGGAGTTACCATATAATGGGACATTTTGAAGGGAGTTAAATTTTGGTGAATTGCTAAATTTTGGTGATTGGCAGATTTTTATTTTGGGTTATGGCTATCAAAATGCCAAAATTGCCAAATTTCCCGCAATACAATTCATTTTGAAGAATTAATTAAATAAAGATCACAACATTGAAGGATACAAAATATAGAAAAAATAAGCGGGTTAGCATACACATACATGTACTAGCATACTTGTAGCAACAGTCACAGGCTTTAAGCTGTATCCATATTTTAATGCTGGACAGGAGCCCAATCTTAAATTGATTGACTATTTGCTGGAAATAAGCTCATGACTCCTTCCCGTTTCATATCCACCATTTGTGTGGCAATACCTGCTAATTAATAAGATAAATAATGAATATTTTCCCCAATAAAGATCCCTCACTAAGGCCACTATAATTACAGTATCCTATTACAAAGGAGGGTGGGCAAATTTGTTTATTACTTTACTCATTATAACTAGTATAAACAACTGCAATACCATAGGTTGTGACATATTCATGGCTACTAATATTCACAATTTGTTACTGTGACCAGCAATTATCATGCATGTACATGTAGATACCAGATGTAATTTGATATTAAACCCAAACCTTTTGA